ATTTCAAGAAAAGACTTGGTAACTATAATGTAACTATACATATAAATCGTCTGTTGAGAGAATTATGTTCAGTTGATGTAACTACACTCTTTTCTCTTCTCTAACTTATACACACTGAAATATTAAACTATGTCAGATGAAGTAGTGTTAAGGTGTCTTTAGTTTGAAAACAAAGAACTGTTAAAAAAGTTAAATTGAAATTATTTAATAAGCTAAATTAAGTATAAAAATATTGGTATCAATGGAAATGGGCTTGCAAAGCTTTATTTCTGAACTTTATTTAGGGTGTTGCCACATATTTAAAAATCAAATTCAACTTAAATCATCAGTTAATTAAAATAGGTATAACAAAGTCCTACGAAAGATATTCAGAAGGTTCTAGCTCGAAACTACTTTTGAAGAGGCTTGCCACCTATTTAAAAATTGTATTAAATTAAAATATACGCCTGTTACTTGAAAATAAGGGTGTCAAGAAAGTTAAGAAGTCTTTAGCTCGAACATATAAGATGTTTATTACGTGTTTATAAAGAATTATTAAAAGATGAATATCAATCTAAATAGGTTTGAAAAGGTTTTATTTCTGAAATGTATTTATGAGGGATGCCACCTGTGTAACCGTAATTAAGGTTGTCACAGAAAAGATATTAAAAAAAGGTTTTATTTTGAAAATATTTTGAAAAGTGTTGCCACCTGTTTCAAATGTCGAACTTAGTTAATTTGCACACAGAGTATATTAAATGTTAAAATATTGGTATCAAATGAGGGGGTTACCTCTTATTTAAAAATTTAAAATTATTTAAAAAGTTATATGGGTATGAATAGGAATGGGTTTGAAAAGGCTTTATTTCTTAACTCTATTTAGGGGTTTGGCATATGGTTAAAACAACAAGTTCAACTTAATGCTAATAAAAATATGTATCAGAATGCCAGGCGATGAAAATCGAAGAAAGTTTTAGCTAGAAAATGCTTTCGAAGAAGCGTTCCACCTGCTTGAAAAGTTACATTCAAATTATTTAGTAGGTTAAATTAATTATTAAGAGGTGGCTATCAATTGTAATGCGGTTAAAAAGGTTTTATTTGAATCACTTACTTAAGAGTGTCGCCACGTATATGGAAAATCAAATTAAACCTGATTCAGCAGTTGATTGAAATATCTAACACATTGTTAGACGAAAGATACTTATTTAAAAAGATTTCAGTTTTGAAAATACTTTTGAAAAATATTTTGTGGAATTGTGTTAACTTATACTCCAGTTTTATGAAAAATTTAAATATCAGTGGGAATCGAAAGAGATTTATAAAAGCTTCAGTCTGAAAATATCTATGATTATGCTCGCCACCTTCTCGAAAAGTCATACCGATCTAACTAAGCATATATATTATACGATAATGCATCTTTTGTGAAGGTCAATGGATTTGCACTGTTCTTTCGAATGTCAAATATGAGAGGTCAAACCTGGCCCCGTGGATGTGTAATAAGGTGTTTTTTCAAGTTAGAACTTTTTATCGGTAAAGGGTGATTTGAAATTTTGTGATATTAAAAGCAGAGAGTATGTGAGTGAGAAAAATTGCACTCGCATCGCCCATAACTTTGACTAGCATTTGGAATAGTCTGTAGGTTTTTGAAATTCAATTATGGGCGTTTTAACGCCATGCGGGTTCACTAGTATTTACATATCATAGCTAACTTAAAAAATGTGTGCACACCAATCTGACATAACCTATACTTTATATCAATATTTTTTTTTTTGCAGAAAATATCAAACCTTTGACATTCGATGAGGTCTACATTCAAAGCAGCCCCTCCAATTGCACTGTTTACGTTGGAGGTGTCAACAGCGCCTTAACTGCGCTCAGCGAGGAAGTCCTACAGAAGACCTTCACACCATACGGATCGATACAAGAGATACGCGTCTTTAAGGATAAGGGCTACGCATTTGTGCGGTTAGTATGAGCAACGCTACGGCACTTGGCTAAACATTAAAGCCTAACGACAAACAGAGCATACACTCACATTTATATATGTAATTACAATCTGTATACACTGCATAGCAGCATATGTATGTATGCCGTAAGTGTATCTACTATGCTTTGTCCACAGAACATGACTTCTAGGATTTTCTCTCCTTTTCCAGCCAAACCCATTAATTCATTATTTGCTTTTGTACTTTACTCTTACATGCGGCCGCCCGATGTTGTTTCTGCTGCTAATGCCGTGCTACCCTGACTACCTTCACCGTGTCCACTACTACGCCAACGCGTAGATTTTCGACCAAGGAAGCCGCCACACATGCCATTGTCGGCGTCCATAATACGGAAATCAATGCGCAGCCAGTTAAGTGTTCGTGGGGCAAGGAGAGCGGTGATCCAAATAATGCACAGACAATCGCTAGTCAAGCGCTTAATCCTGCTGCCGCTGCAGCAGCCGGTTTCCCGTACGGCGTTGGTGCGGCAGCAGCTGCTGCAGCCGCCTACGGGCAACAGCTGGCCGCCACCGGTTGCTGGTATTCACCAACGCCAACGTATTCCACTTCATCGACCACAGCGGCTGTAACACCGGCTGCTGCCGCATCTGCTGCAGCGGTGCAGAATCAATTCTTGCAAGGTATTCAGGGATATCACTTCGGACAGTATGGTGGCTATCAGCAAGGATATATGGGGTAAGTACGCGTGCAGGCACAAACATTTGAGCACATATATGTATATGCATGTATATGGGTATACGCGTTGCCATACATATGTACATATGTAGAATTGAGCGAGTGAGCGTCGCTGTTAATATAATTGAAGGCGATAATCGTCGAATGTAATGTGACATGGGCTTTACATACATAACATGAGTTTAGGTGGGGTAGATGTGTGCATCTGGTGTACGCGACAAAGTAGGCGCAGTGCCGATGCATACCTATCAATCGATAATTCATTTTGAATTAATAGCGAGCGGTGCTTTCACGTCTATGTGCGTCTGGCCTTGCGATAAGCCACAAATGGTACGCAACGCGCCACAATGTATACAACAAAAATTTGCAATTAACTCAAAATCGCTTGCCAGCGCAATGCCGCAGCACTCTTTATTTGCAAGTCTGTAAATTTTGCATTTTAAATACGTGGAATACAATAACAACTATCAATTGGCGCCTATCAATGGAATACCATTTCATGAACATCACAACAATCGGGATTTTGCGCGCTTGTAGGGACACCCAAGCAGAGGGTCGATTGCTACAAATACATATGTACGTATAGCAACAATTTCATCGACATATAGCCAATTATCTCGAAACTCAAATGCGCGCCAATTGCCTGTATACACGGAGTACAACCGTTAAAATAAAAGCCCACCAACACATTCGCAGCGAAAATCAGCGCTGCAGCGCAGCTTCGCATCGCCCTAGTAAATTCTACACTTGATAACGTGTACATTCTGGAAATATTGAATAGCAACGTAGCGGAGAGGTGAACGGCGTTGAATGATGACGAAGTGACGGTTGACTGAATTCATTTGCTAATTGCAAAAGTTATGCGCAGCCAACGCTATCCGACTTCCGTCAACCTGCAACCTCGTCGATAGTCGTTCATCTCTTGTATTTGTTTTAGAATTCGCTGTCACTGGCTTACCGCATACGCGCGTTTGTTCGTACGCTAGTTGGTCATAAATATTTGTATTTGGTCGACTTGGCATTCGTATATCTAACAGGTCGACTAGTTGGTGGAAAAATATTTTTTTTTTATCAGCTCAGAGTAACCTGGTCGGCTCATTTGCAATTCGATTCGAAAACATTTTCGTCCGAAAGGGGATTTTCCATACTACCTATTCCGAAACTGAGCTAAAATATTCCATTTTTAGATTCCCATATTCGGTTTACTGATATAATCAACTAAGTAATCCGAACTGGATTACCAAATTTATTCGAAAATCGAAAAGTGATTCGGAATCCATTACGGCGTAGCTCAACCAATTACCTCAGAAAAATTAGTTTATTTCTACTACTTCAAATTGTTGTTTAATCACCGAGCAGGCTCATTGAGATAAACCAAATGCTTACACTTTTGATACAAATCTTTGCAAATAGTTTAAAATTAGGTGTAAAATCAACTGTGGGCAATTAACTATTACAGCATGAAAAACCATCTGTAAAAGAAATATACTGACTTTGCACCGCTTTAAACCAAATGCATTCTAAAGTATTTGCACATAAATAATTCAAACTTTTCTAATTTAATTCAAGTTAGTTTTTTACATATATACATATATGTATGTATGATGAATGTGACTAGTGTTGCGCCTTAGAAGCTTGCCATCGTCTGTCCTGATCATTAGTGATCGTGGAGCACTGTGTGCTTTTTCAACTGTCCAGTCCAGACCTCGTTGTATTCTCACTCTATCACCCGGAGGGGACGAATTTGTATTGTGGAACTTAACATTGCTAAGACCGCGTATTTCAGTGGCGGTTCCAGCAGGGGGTTTTGAGGGTTAAACTATGTATAATATGGCGTCTATGTATTAAAACACCCCCCGTGGGTCCGCCACTGACTGACACGTAGTTTAACCCCCAAAACGCCCCCCTCTGGATCCGCCACTGACATCGGCTTCTATTGCTAGTTTTAAAGTTTCGCTTGTGGTGGGTAATTTTTGACCGTGTTGTTCTGCTCATTAATAGTTTTATGAGGGGAGAGCATGCTATCATTGCGTGGAGTTTTTTTTGGAGTTTAATAGCGCTAGCTGTATATTTTTTGCTATTTGTACATAGCGTTCCGCTAAGCCATTCCAACGAGGATAATGTTGGCTGGAAGTTTGATGTTCCATCTCCCATAACTTAACGAATTCAGCGAATTGCCGTGAGGTAAACTGGGGACCATTATCCGATTCTAGTATTGCGGGTATTCCATGTGTTGCAAACAAATTTTTTAGCATATTGATTACTTCTGTTGATGTCGATTGATTTAATTTGGCGAAATCTAGATAACCGGATTAGCTGTCTAATATTAGTAGTAATAATTACTCAACGATAAATGAAATAAAACAAATTTGTGCTATTTCACATTCAATTGGGCCCGCCCTAATGTACCTATGGGCTTCTGGATCAATTCGAAAACAATTCTTGCTTTTTGCATTGCGCGGTTTTAACTGGGATTCAGACTACAATTTCCCCCCCTACACTAGTCGTCTAATGGTCATAAATTTCGTAGAGAAATGCTAGATATAATAGTTATCGTAAAATTAATGACAGGCTTGATTAATAGCACGGCCCTTCTGGTTTAGGTGAATTCTAATATTCCCTCTCGAGTGTCAAGACACTTTGGACCTCTATTTTTGAAGCCAAGCAAAACTAATTTTGCACTAGACGAATCATTCCGTGGTCTATGTCAAGATTTGAATTCTCATTCCAGCACGTTCGACATATCGGATTCGATTTTTGCTATAAAGAAAACTATCATTTCCACTCTCCATAATTTAAATACTATCTATAGCATATCCAATCAGCTGATGAATATCGTTCACTTGTGGTGGCTGTATTTGCAAGACAGCACGCTATGCGCTGGTGTTCGTTCAGTCATCCTCTAATTTCGTTTAGGTATCGATATTACTAAGCCAACGCCGCTGTTCAGTTATACAAAGCAGCAGTATTGATTGAGTATGAAACAGTTGACGTTCAACCAATGCCAATCCCTGATGCAGATGTGCATATGTAATTATTAGATACACTGTGCAAGTCACAAATGTAAAGCTACGTGAAAACTGCATCTGCCCGCATACATAGATTTTATTGTTTTTGTATGCAATTATTGTGGTTGTAGCTCTTTCTGATACTTTGGTTGATTGCATCAGTTTGTATTTACAACATCAACATCTCATGCCGCTGATGATGAAGTCAACAAAGCCCTTGGCTGGTGCCGAAAAATTGAAATAAATTCGTCAGAATATTTGTACGTTATGTACTTTGTTGCGCTTCAATTTTTTTGTTTTTTTTTGTTTTTAATAAAAGTAATTACAACGGCCGCTGTCGCTGAGTGACTAGAGCTGTATACTTTTACTGCGCAGGACCTGGATTCGATCGCTAGGCAGCAATGGCGAACCTCCGAGTGTAACTTTAGGTTCCCCATTTGTGTAACAACATCAAGGCTAACACCACTATTTGGTGGCGAAGCTCCTCCAAACACTTAGCAAAAGTGTGTGCAAGAAATATTATTATTACTATTACCTAAATATATATATGTTCTAGTTAAACAAAGATTTAAACGTATTTAAATTTATTTTATTATTTGATTTTCTCTGAATCTTCACAGCATGGGCGTTCAAATACCCGCCACTTGGCAAGGAGTTGCTACCCAAGCGCAAATCTCACCCGCTCAACAGTTGGCGACGGGTGTGCCTGGTGCTGCCATACCGCAAGCAGCTGGCGTTGTGGCCTACCCGATTCAGCAATTTCAAGTGAGCCCACAGGTAGGTGTCAATTGTTGCTACTAGAGTAATAGCAGAAGCAAGCATAAACTCTTTTTTTTCTTGGTTGTGTTGATGCTAGTAATTATCGCAGTTGCCAATTGAAATTGTGAGATTGAATGCATTTTTATCTTTTTTCATTGCACACATTTTTTACATTCGCATACTTTTCTGAAAGTTTTATCTTTACTAAATCAGCATGAACAACTTTTTAATAAATTAATATCTATGTAGTTGTGCTTTCTTCTTTGAGTAACCTATGTATATGTTTGTCTACTTCATTTGGATTTGCTACATATAATCACCACGATACAGTTTTAGCACGTTGGTAGTTTGTACTGCTGAATGAACCAAGTTGTTTCGTTTTCTATATTACTCATCTTATTACAAATTTTTAAATGCAGTGGTTTTTCCTTATTATATTAAAGGGTTTGTACAGATTTGTTTATTTTTTAACTCGCGGCAGCATATTAAAAAAAATTTTACTTATTCTTTCGCAAATAATTTTTTTTATTATAGGGAACAGGTAA